CGGCCTGAGCGCAGATCTCTCGCCGGCAGCTCCAGCAAGTGAACAGCCGCGACGGCGGCGTGGATTATCTGCACAGTCCACGCCATTGTAACCTCTGCGCGAGATCCCCGCTCTAGCTAATTAATTTTCAATAATATGCAGCGTGCTTGTTTTCAAAAAATAAATTAATTTGTAAACCATTTGCACTATTTTATCTGTCATTTAAGCTTCTAGGGTTTGCAATTTTAATGCATTACATCAGTTAATCAAAATTCTCTTCCAGCAACAGTTTTAATTAAGCTCATTTTCTCTCCCTTTGCTAATTCAATGCTGTAGCTAAGGGCTGCTAATGAGATCATGGTTTTTTGTTTTTTTTTTTTTTCATAGTCACTGCTTATATTACAAAGCTGCAAGGGAAAGAAGGCATGGCTGTCGGGGAGGGACGGACTGGTGCATCTGCCGTGCAGCACGGGCTCCGTCCGGCGTGGCCGTCTTCCTGGAGCTGCAGCTTGCAGCCAAGGGAGGCTCCGGCTGGTTGCAGAATACATTGGAAAAGCTCAGGGTCGAGTGAAACAGCAATTAGCGGTTTGGAAGGAGAGATTTCTGCAGGGGAATGATGCAAAGATGGAAGGAGTCGCTCTTGAGAAAGCTGGTGATTAAGCCTCTTCTGGGTGCAGAACAGAGGTGGTTGCAGGAGTTGCTTTGCAGCATCCTGCTTTGCGCTTGGTTGCAAGAAAAAAAAGAGCGGAGACGGAGGGTGATAATTTTGCTGGTGCTGCCCAGGCTTCCCGGGGAAGGGGCCTGGCCCCCGGCTGGGAAGGCAGCGGCAAAACGCTGCAAAGCGCCACGCGCCCGAGGGGATGTCTCTAGGGGCAGAGGGATTTGGGCTAAAGAAAACCTAGGAGAAGATGGGATTAGAAGAATTACATTATTTCTACATGTTTAAAAGGTATTTTTAAAAAGGCTCGCTCTGCAGAGAATCAATATTTCACTTCAAGGAAAAAGGAACTGAGTTCTATTTAAATCTTTATTCTGTGAAATCAGGAGGCTGTGCAAAGAAATCAATATTTGTGCTGCTGTCGGTGCAGATGTCCCACCCCTGGATGCTCGCCAGCTCCGGTCCTCAGGAGGGATCTCCCACCGCAGGCGCCGAGGGCAGATCCAAGCCCCGGCTGGCAGAGGCGAGCGCGTCTCGGCGCGGTGGAAAGGCCCCTTTACGGGAGCTGAGCCGTCGGTGGGGCCGATGCTCCGGCGCCTGGGGCCCCCCCAGCCCGCGGGTGGTGACGGTCGCGCGACAGCCCGCGGCGGCCGTGGCCTCCGGCCGGCCAGCGGGCAGCTCGTGCCGTTTCAGGACAGGAAGGCCCTTCACCCGCATGGTGGGTTTTTTTTTTCCCCCTCCCAAAATATGAACAACCACCAGAGATTCAGAAGTAACCCGTTATTGAATAATTTGTCCTGGATGAAGATAATTCCAAGTCAGTTTTAAAGCAGCGGCTTCTTTGTAAAAATATATGCTGCAATTGCAAAATCCTCGCCAAGTACTGACATCATAAAGTTCTTATTACAGACAGCTCCTTCGCTTTCAGCTGAATTTCTAAATCCATCCCCAAAACAAACAACTCTGCAGCAATCGACACCTGATCTGTTATTCAGATTCAACAGCGATATCTGCTCTGACAACTTGCTAACAAGCTTCTACACAAGAGTCAACATTCGGAGATAAATGGCTTTGACAGTCCTTTGCTAAATTAGCAAATGTAACTGCAATCCAAAATGCTGTTCTGAATCCATGGCAGTCTTTTTGTGGCGGAGACGGACTAAATATATTTCTGCCTTTGCAAGCTGCAGCGTGTATTTGCACCATCCTTGGCGCTCTACAGTCAACCACGTATCCGACCCCAGCGAGGAGACGGCCTGCAGTCCCCAGACCCTTCGCCTGCTCTGTCCTCACCTCCTGGAGACCTCCCTGGCCTTTTTTCTAGGGCAGATGTGGCCTGCCTCTGTTAATGCACGGATAACTGTCCCTGCTTCCAAACCCGTTTTCTTGTAGATATTTACTTTGCTCAACTCTTGGCCAACCCTTTCTTTTTTTTAAAATGCATTTTAATTAGCCAAGGTGCATAGGTTCAGAGGTCCCGTTTTCCCTCCTCCAGTCTTGTTCCAGACCTGCTGTTCCTGCTACTTGTGTGTACACACAGATCAGTCCAAAGAGTCACATTTGGCATCAAGATGAATTTTAACTTAGAAAATGAAAAAAACAAATACGATGACAAGCTTATTTATTTGTGCAGCCAATATTGCCAATTGCTGTATTTTAAAGGCATTTTTGCCATTTGCTGGAGTCAGTTGGAACACAGAGACAAAATCCAACATTTGTGACATCTTAGGCAGCTTGGAAGGGTTCTTTTATACGCAGCAAAACTCAGCAGGCTTGACATTTGAAACTCACTTATTTCACTGCCAGGCAAAACCTTATGCCTTTATACTGTATTTTTCCTGCTGTTTCTTAGCACAGGAATTCCTCCTTTTTCTAGCTTCATACCATTATGAACAGACCAGCATGAAAAAAAACCCTCTATGCTGCAATAATAAAATTGGTTTTGAAAGAGCAGAAATCTGGATTGTCCATGTGGTTCCAGGCTCAGAGGGAGCTCTCAGATACCCCCACATTAGCTCTGCTCCCCACGTATATTCGTAGGCAACGGATGTCTGCGTAGTCATTATGTCATTATTCTGAACACCTAAAACACATGAAATGCGAAATTTAAAAAGACTGTTTGATGTTTAGCTTCTTAAAATTAATTCATGTATTAAATAATAATCTCCGAAGTGCTGCAATATGCATTAATGTAAAACGCTCAGCCTCGAGGAACGGAAGAAGCTGCACTGTAAACGTTTGCAGACTCGTGTCGCTGCCGCGGTCTGGAATCCCTAATCCAGCCCCTTGGTCGTTTCACCTCCGCTCCCTTGGATCCCAGTTGGGTGCAGTGCTTGGAAGTCTTCCGTTTAAGGGAACTGAGCTTTGTTTTTCCTGCCATCGTGCCTGCGATTCGGCAGTTTGGGGGACGTTAGCTGCTTCCAGGTGCGCCTCTGCGCTCCGGTCCTCGTGCCGCCGGGGGTGCTGGAGCAGCCCCGCGGGCATCCCTGCCCGCTCCCCGCCACCTCGCCCTTGCTGCTCCATCGCTGCCCGTCCCTGTGCCACCTTCCCTCCGCCCCTTCCCTCCTGCTGGTGACCTGAGCAATGCAGCAGGGCGTGAAACGAGCAGCAACCTCCCCCCAAACATCTCCTATTTGCGGGCACCAGAACGCAGGGCGCGTGCGGCGAACGCCCAGCGCTCCTCCCGGGCGCTCTGCAGCGCGGCCCCGGCCTCGCCGCTGCCCGGCGGGGGCTGAGCCGCGCGCGCCCACGGGTCGCGAGTGAAAACACACGGACGATAACTAGCGCTAATAACGGTCCCCTCGTGTCTCCTGCAGACGGGCGATCCTCTGCAAAGCCTCCGAGCAGCCAGCAAATCATGGGACGCCTTGTAGGAGGTGCTGCTATCACAGTGAATGATTTATGAGCTATTTTGGAAGTGGAGCTGGAGCCCTTGGAGTCAAGCTGTCTTCTCTTTCAAGGTATTATCCCAGCACTGCGACTTCGCTCCAACCGGGGGAGCGTGCGGGGTGGTTTTTATAGCTGTTGCTCAAG